TTTTTAAAATGGAAAACATTGAAAATCTGCTATGGAGATTCAAGCGGGGTTGTTGACATTACAGAGCGCTTGCCAATACATGCCTTCTGCCTGCATATCTTCCCCATTCAAGTACAGGCTTGGTGGGGGAAAGGGCAAGAATAGAATCATAGAATAAGGGAGTTGGAAGGGGCCTATAAGGCCATCAAATTCAACTCCCTGCTCAAGGCAGGAATCCAAGTCAGAGTAGATCTGGCAGAGGGTGGTCCAATTTTCTTGTGAAAATGCCCTCAGCTTTGGAGCGCTCACCTCCTCCCCCGGAGGTCATTGGTTCCATTGTCTTACTGCTCTAAGTTAGGAAGTTCCAGATCATTTTGAATTTTGTTTCTGCCTTCCAAGGTATCAGCTATTTGCAAAATAACTGGTTCCTTTATACCATTTATGTCTTTACTAATCATCAGTAACTACCTCTCACTTCAGTGCATTCAAAATCTAAGTAGGCACAGAAGCCAAATTTGGAGGTATTCAAAAGAGATGGGGAGGTCTTTTAAAATCAGATTTGTATTTTCTAAATAATGTTTTAAAATATTCATCTAGGATGGCTATAAACTTTACTCAGTTTGCTTTAATTCATTATTGATGCTAAATTTGCACCCACCACCTTGAATCTCCACTAGAGGAGAAAAATGGGATACAATCAAATATACAGTATAAGCAAAATAAAATAAATCAATAACGAGTCCCGTTCCACCCTTTCTAGCCGTGGTGCCCTGCTGGCTTTCAACGGCCTCTTACGCTGAAGTCACTTCTCAAGAAGTAGGCAGAAATTGATTTCGGGTAGCATCTTCTGAAGTTCCAAAAACTTTAGCCACTTCCTAAGAAACAGAAGCTGCAGAAAAATCCTGTTATCTTCCCCTGTTTCTTTTCTGTGGAAATGTTACTATGTGCGGCCTACATTTCCCAGAATTTCCCTACCTAATGTACCATAGCTGGCTGGGGGATTTTGGTAGCACTAGTCAACATTTGTAAACGTTCTTCTTTCCTTGGAAAATCTCCTGTTCACTCAAGTCTGCCTCGTGCTTTTCTTTTTAATTCATGAGTGGCTTCTAGAAGTGTGTGCATACCTAGAGGGAGAGGTGTCATGTCTTCTTGCGCTCTCTTGAATCATCCTCACCATTCCTATGAACGTGGAGACAGCTCCTTGAGCGCTCTCAGAAATGTTCAGACTCCTTGATAAACGAAGTGCAAGAAGAATGTCTGTACAGTGCTTGACGCGACATATACAACGTTGAGCGTCTTCTCTGGAATCTTCCCATCCAAAGGAAGAACGAACTTGCCTGCTTGTTTGTTCAGCTTGATTTGACTCAGGAATGTTTTTTCGCACCAAGAGGACAATATTCTCTGTATTAGACCCCTTGCAGTTTTGTCAACCAACCCATCCCGAACTCTGTTCTGCTCAGGAACAGAGCTTCCTTCCATTTGAAGGATCCAATATCGGACGGTGCTTGCTCATCCATTCAGGCTGCCAGTCATCCCGAGAACTACCAACGACACCCTTTGCCTTATCAATATACCATAATTTTGTCAGGGTTTTTGACGGCTGGCTGGCATGAGAGATATATGGCCGTGTTAAACCTCTCAAGGCAAACGGCCTGCAGACCGGCCTCTTTAAAGCTTCTGTGAGTGGCCACACATGTCAAACACACACAAAGCCACATACCCCTGTGTGTGATTTTGACATAGATTATACATTGACTTCCTCTTCTTCCAAAAATATTTGTTCTCAAAGAAGGATGTTGGTAACCAAAAACCAAAGTGTATCTGTTAAATATCAGCGCAATAGGTGTGCGGTTCCTAACATTGCCGGGTTTTTTGTAGCTCTGCTGGCGTGCTTTCCGAAACACACACAAAGCCACATACCCCTGTGTGTGATTTTGACATAGATTATACATTGACTTCCTCTTCTTCCAAAAATATTTGTTCTCAAAGAAGGATGTTGGTAACCAAAAACCAAAGTGTATCTGTTAAATATCAGCGCAATAGGTGTGCGGTTCCTAACATTGCCGGGTTTTTTGTAGCTCTGCTGGCGTGCTTTCCGAGATCTGCAACGCCAACACAAGGAACTGATCTTTCTCGGTCATCCCTCTAGAACAAGTCTCCCACAGAGGTTTGACAGGAAGCAAAACCGAATTATATAAAACTGTTTTCAACCCATTACAAGTATTGTCCTGAGACGTTCAAATGGGTTTTAATTTGTGTATTTTTATTTAAAGGTAGTTTTTAACTGGCAACAGGGTTTATTATCCTTTATTGTATTTTTTTGTATTATTATACAGTGTTTTTATGATTTTACTGTTTGCTGTGAACCAAACAGAGAGTGCTAATGCTAGTAGGGCAGTAAACAAATACAAATAAACTAACTGATTTGTACCTCTAAACTATTGCACCAGATGTAGTTCATAACAGCTGTTTTGTGTGTGTTTGTAAACTCATTGTGTTGATTTGATGGTTTTAAGTTTGGTCTCAAAGTTTGGAAACATGGGTTCTGTGGACTACAACTCCCACATTCCACCAAATACTTATTTATTTATTTATTTATTTTGGACCTATATACCGCCCCATAGCGCTACAAGCACTCTCCGGGCGGTTTACAATTTAATTATACAGGCTACACATTGTCCAATTAGAGAAAACACAGTCCTCCAAAACATGAATTTTTCCCAGCTCTGCTTGAGGGCTGCTTTTACATCATCAGCTTTCCCAAAAGCTTTGGAACCTGGAAAGATATAAATCTGCTAAACGAATAAGCGTGAAATATTCTTCATAGGACAGTCATCTAACAGAACAATGAGGCTTAAGCTATTTGTAAGGGGTCAGGTGAACAGATGAAAGATATATAGCTATGTGATGGGTTATCTGATCCCATTTACCTGCCATGTCAGCAGCACATCAGGCCTATGTCTCCTGCATGTCAGATCATTTCCAAATTACAGCCGCTGCTCACCAGGTATAATTCAAAAAATATTCAAAAATACCAGGCACAAGTCAATCAAAATTATAAAAACATTGACTGCATTATATAGCGGATACAAGTTTTAACCCAAAACCAAAGTGTATCTGTTAAATATCAGTGCAATAGGTGTGCGGTTCCTAACATTGCCGGGTTTTTTGTAGCTCTGCTGGCGTGCTTTCCGAGATCTGCAACTGCTTATAGCACTGTGTGAAATTCCTTGATATTGTTCCCGAAGCCCCAGTGACAATGGGAACCACAGAAGTGTGTTTCTTCCACAAGCGAGATGTTTCGATGGAATGGCCAGGTCTCTGTACTTTGTTAGTTTTTCCAAGACTTTATCTGATGATGATGATGATGATGATGATGATGATGCTTCTGTTTCTTAATAAATCAACTCAGCTTAGATTGAAACAGCCAGTCATCTTTACTGCCTTAAAAGCACAGACCTTGGGACCTAGTGATGCCCAACTCACATACAAAGAAAAAGATTAGGTGCTCTACAATTTTTGTCTGGTTTATGTTATGAGCCATAAAGCTGCTTCCCATTTAGGGGGACCCTATAAATTAGGCACAATGGATTGAGTGATGAGCTAGGCCACCTCCTTTAAAGGGGGGAGGCTCCATCATGAAAAACATCCCAGGAGACAAAAATAAACGTTAAAGCCACCAAATCTTTATTCAGACACATTCTGAGGAAACAGCATGGAAAGAGACTGCAAATTTCACAGCCCATTCCTATTTTTATTCATTTAGTAGTAAAACCTCCACTTACTCTTCTCTCAGCCTAACTTACCTACCTTGCAGGTTCGTTGTGAGGAGCAAGATGGGAGGGGGGAAGGAGGATATGAATATAGCTAATTAATTCATAAACACAGCAAGGTCCTTTTGCAAAAAAAAAAAAAGTTTGCAAACACCAGCTTCCATTGCCAACCGGTGAAATAAATTACAATTAATAACTTAACAGTGGCTTTCTGCAATTACTGCAAAACTAATAAGCGCAGCAAACCACAGACAACAGGGGAAGCAATTTCCAGAGAATTGGTTGAGCTTTATTGAGTTTTCTAAAAAAAATTAATACAATAAATTCAAATGCTCAATTTTTGGCTTTCACTTATACGGAAAAACATGGTTTGCTTATCAATAAGCTGTTGAAATTAATCGTGAAATAAAACTAGGATTTAATCCCTGTTGTTGTAGTAGTAGACTAAGGTTTCCTGTATTGAATCAGTTCCTTGAAGGTTTACGTTCTTTTTAAAAAAATGTAACAATAGAGATGTTTCGGGCAGAACTTTGGAAATTACTTTTGAGAAGAATGTAACAAACTAACCCAGCTGGATACCCTATTCAACCCTGTTCAACATTGTTATTATATAACAAGGTCTAGCACAAGATACCCCTGTGTGGTGGAAGTGGATAGAGAGATGGACTAGGAACCAGGAGACCCAGGTTCGTATCCACGCTCAGCCATGAAAACTCACTGGGACAGTGGAGATGGTAAAAGAAAAAAAAATCGCTCCATAAATATCTCAGTTCCCTTGAAAGCCCCATTAGGGCCACTAGGATGGATGGATGGATTTGTGCCCCATCTTCCTCCTTAAAAAAGGCCCATCACTGAAAGACAATCTCCCAACTTGTAAAATGACTTGTTAGGATGATGCTTGGCAAGTTTTGTGTGTGTGTGTGTGTGTTTTTCAAGATGAAAAGTTGGCTTCCACTTGACCGTCTGTAACCACAAGAAGCGCAGGGAAAATTGGATCACCGTTCTAGAAACCAGGCTTCCAACAGGCCACGCCCACTTTCCCCGCTGACCCACCTCGCAGGGGTGTTAAGAGGATAACACAAATAAGGAGCCCTGCTCGCCCCGGAGTCTCGCCTCCGGTCGGAATCCTCGCCTCCCTCTCGCTTCTTTCATTCTTGAGGAGGCGCAGCCCAGGCTCTCTTCTTCCTATTGGCCGTCTGGGCCAGTCTAGCCACGCCCTTTGCTAGCCCCGCCCACCAGGGCGGAGCCCCAGAGCCGGGAAACCCATCCAGGCGGCGCGCGTCGGCAGGCGTGAAATCCACACTGGCTTGAGCGCCGTCCGGTGCGGCCGCTTTCTTCGCCGCTCCGGGGCTCTCTCGGTGGCGCGATCGGTCGCTGGCTGGCTGGCTGGTTCGGGGTACCTGCCCGGTTTGCGCGTGGAGGGTGTGGAGGAGGGGGAAAAAAGGAGCCAGGAAAAAAAAAGAAGAAGATCGAGGCTGGGGGCTTAGAGAGCGCCGGAGATGCTCGGGGGGCGCTCCTTGCGCAGCCTTCTCGCCTGAGCTCTGCCGGTCGCCCCGATCCCCGTAGGGCAGGATGGAAAAGCCACGATTATTCATTTGCACGACGGTAAATCCCGAAGGATTCCAACGGCAAAGAGCGATCGCTTGGTTGGCTTCGTCTCGTGCCGCGGGGACCCTCTCCAAGAAGAAGGGGGAGTAGAACGGAGCTAGCATTTCCAGTATTTCCCCCCCGGAGGGTTTTTGCCGGCTCGCGCACCATGGAGTATCGAGTCGTGGCGCTGTGGCTCGGAGTGTCGCTGCCCAGCTTCCTCCTGGCGCAGGTGAGTGAGCGAGCGAGAGCTTTCTTCTCTGCGAAGCAGGGGAGGGTTAAGGGGGAAACAGGAGATGAATCAAGGTCCTAGATCTCATGAGACTGGAGTGGATACAAGTATATTCTGAAAAAGAGAGAGGGATTTTGTATGACCTTCCTCTTCCCCTCTCCTAATCCTACCCGGGTTCGAGCGTTTGGGAAACGGACCTCTCTGAACTACAAGTCCCAGAATCCCCCAGCCACCTGGATCGGGTGTTGAACTCGGGGAGGTTACTTTTCCAGACTCCACGTCCCAGAATCCCCTACCCGGCATGAATGAGCTTGCAGAAATTACTTTTCAGAATGACAAGTTCCAGAATCCCCTACCCAGCATGCTGGGACTTGTAGTGGGGGAAACCTAACTTTTGCAAGCGCTCCCTGTTTTCAGCAGCTGGACGCAAGAAGGAGATGTGGGTTCAAGTGAGGAGCAGGGTTTGTCCTGCTGGGGAGAGACCCTCTTGAACCAGAGGCAGCCCAGATGTTGTGCAAGGCGTGGCTGACACCGAAAATACAGTTGAGGTGTGAGCTAGCTTTCTAAGCAGGCTGCTTTTGAAAAATACTTTGGCTTTTCCGAGTCTGGCTGTTCATCCATTTCAGGAGAAACCAGTACAGGGGTTCAAGTCGGTCCTGGTCCACTTTTGAAAAGTGGTGCTTTTCTGTAGTAACTTTGTGTTGATGAGCGATAGGACCTCTGCACATGCTCAGAGGCATTTAACATTTATTCGTACTTGGCTTCCTGTTGCTGTTGATGCTGGTATTAGCAACGTGGGTTAAGTTTGGGCAAAGTTGAGTGTCAGGTTGGCTGGAACTTCCATCCAGGACTATTATGGGTATCTTTTGGGGGTCGTGGGGGGCTCCGTCTTCCCTTGGGAGCATGAGATAATTCTCCCCCCCCCACATACACACTTTTTTGTCACAGAACTAAGTGTTCCTTACGATTACTCTTGGGATTGTTTGAAAGAGGCAGGCAAAAGAGCCCCAGAACACATGAAGTCAGAAATGTGCCTTCCAGCTTTCTCCACAATAGTCACCTCAATGCAGCCACTGGTAGCACTGGGCTTAACTGGGAAACTGGTGCCTTGGTTTTTTTACTCCCGCCCACCTACCCAGTTTTCTGGATTTAAACCCAACATAAATCTCTGTATACAGCAAACATCTCTACCCACAATCAAATTGGGATCCAGCCTGGGAAATCTACTTGGAATTAATGGACCCGATCCAACTGGAGCCAAGCGCTTACACAGTTAATCTCTGTCAATAATTTAGGCAAGGGGTTCGCTCTCCTTCCCCAGTGAAATCATCAGGAGGGCATCCGTTGAACTGGTTACCCTCCAGTATCCTGGGAGTGAGCACTCCCCAGCCTGGGGAGGAGGAAATCCCTCTTGGACCACAACTCCCATCATCCCCCAGATGGCACCGTTTAGGATAGTGGGTGTTAGCGATCCATAATATTTGAAAGTGGCTGAATCGGGGAAAGTTGAATGTTGTATTTGACGGGTGAAACCTATGTGAAAGATACTCAGCTAACTCAGTGCAATGAATTGAATCGCCACGAATGTGTTTAGGATAGTCCTCATTCATTTCAATGGGAGGAGACGAACCGACCCATCTCTAAATGGATTCCACCTCTAATTGTTAGATTGTTCTACAATACCTGTTTTCCCCCGACAAGAGTCAGCGAAAGAGTTGTAGATTTATTTGTATTATTACAGCGTTCTTGTAAAAGAAAGATTCTGTTGTGTTTCCTTTCGGTTTCTCCTAGTTATGTCTTTGGCTGTTTAAAATATAGGGGGTGGGGAGAGAAGGTGGAGAGAGAGGAAAAAAATGCAATTTAGCAGACTAAATAAATAATTGTATTTTCATGGAGTCGTTTTATGCAGGCACTACCATTCTTATGAGAGCTAAGGTGCATTTTTGTATCCCATAAAAGGGGACGGATTTATTTCATTTGAGGCTACTTTGACATGAGCAAACGCTGCTATATTGTTATGAGTAATACACGTGGGGGGTTGGGAGCCCTGTCGACTTTTAATTGCGGTTGGGCAGGAAGCGGATAATTAGAGTTACACTAGCTGTCCAGGGTTCAAGTCTGACCAGTGACTTCTCAGAACCGGCCCAAGCAGAGCGTTTGGTCCCCAGCAGCTCTCGTTTCGAGATAGACTGCTTCTGAAACCGAGGTTCCACTTAGCAGTCACGCAGAATTAGCACCGGAGGTGCTCCCCTCCATGACGCTGGGGTCGTAGCTGATTAAACTTAGATGGTCACCAAAGAAGTGCAATCAGATGCTGCATCAACAGGTGTTAAGATTTCTGCGTACCTTGGAGGAATCAAACTGTGATCTCTGTGGGATTTTGTGGACTCCACCCTATCATGTAAAACAAACCCTCGAGTCAACATTTAACTTTGTTTTAACTGACAACACAGTGGCAGTGATTGTCATACGGCTCAGTGGTTTAGGTATCCGGCTGTGGACCCAGAGGTTCAGGGTTCAACTCATGGATTCGGTTCACTCTCAAGGGGTCAGCTTGACGCAGAGGTTCAGGGTTCAACTCATGGGTTCGGTTCACTCTCAAGGGGTCAGCTTGACAGGGGCTGGACTCAATGATCCATAGAATTCTTTCTAGCTCTGCTATAACAACAACAACAACAACAACCCTGTTTTCCCAAAAATAAGACCTAACCTGAAAATAAGCCCTAGTATGATTTTTCAGGATGCTCGTAATATAAGCCCTACCCCAAAAATAAGCCCTAGTGAAGTGAAACCTTGCCTTGTGCAGGAACCAGAAGAAGATGACATGATTGTATTGGAATCAATGTAGATGGTTGTCCATAAAAAAATAAAACATTCCTTGAAAATAAGCCCTAATGTTTATGGTTGTTGTTGTTGTTGTTGTTGTTGTTGTTTTGGAGCAAAATTAATACCAAAAACCTACTTATTGTGGGGGAAACACGGTATTTAAAAAGACCAGGCACAGTGAATCAAAATTATTAAAAACATTAGTATTATATAAACAGATACAAGTTTTAACCAAAAACCTGAGATCTGCAGCTGCCTATAACACTGTGTGAAATTTCTTGATATTGTTCCCGAAGCCCCGATGACTGCGGGGACCATGGAAGTATGTTTCTTCCAGAGGTGAGATGTTTCAATGGCCAGGTCTTTGCACTTCTTGTTGTTGTTGTTGTTGTTGTTGTTGTTGTTGTTGTTGTTGTTGTTGTTGTTGTTGTTGTTGTTGTCCCACTTCTGGGGACAGGCTTTAAGCCACTCATTTCCAAGACCCTTCCAGTCGTCCTGGGCAAACCACTGATTATTACCCTCCTTGACTGCAGTGCTATCAAGTTACGATACGATAAACCTTTATTGCCATTAGGCAGAAACTCAGGGGGGAAATAGTGCTATTAAATTCATTAGCTGCAGAAATAGAAATATATCCCCAAAGTGATTCTGTTGGTTTTTCTGGCCAGGACAGAACCTGAATTTAGATAGTTATATCAAAGCCCAATCCACCAAGTCACTGCCCTCAATTAGCCCTGGTTGCTCCTACTGTGATTGATGTTGTGTCCTTCTGTCCATTTCTTGCTTCTGGTCTCTTTGGTCTCTTTTGAACCCAGGGCAAGGCTAGGTGTCTAAAAGTTACCCTGGTCTTCATATCTCACAAGGAGTGTATTGCTATTGTGTGCCAGCCCCTGACTTATGGCAACCCTAGGAATGAATGGTCTCCAAGGAGCCCTGTCCTCAGTTGCCCTGCTCACCTCTTGTAGACTCAACTCCATGGTTTCCTTTAGGGAGTCAGTCCATCTCATATTGGGTCGTCCTCTTTTCCTGCTGTCTTCCGCTTTTCCCAGCATTATGGTCTTTTCCCGGAGAATCCTGCCTTCTCAGGATGTGCCCAAAGCAGGATAGCCTCAATTTCAACATTTTTGTGCCTCCTCAGATAGTTCAGGCTTGATTTGATTCATATCTGGTTTTCCTCTTTTCCTGCTGTATTACACTTACCTGCCTTCTATCCTCAATTACTTTTGAAGGTAAAGTGCAGGTAATGAATGACATTACTATTGGAAAATAATGTAAGAACTGGTAGTGTAATTCCTTTTTCTTAAAAAAAACAATATGTAAATTTGATTCATTGCTTCTGAAGCACTGAGCTATTGGGGGGGAATCCTTGACCATTTTTAAGGCTTTTATTTTCTTTTGAAAAAGTAGTGTGTTATTAATCATGGCTCTGTAAATAACAAGTTATGTGTTACGTTGGGAATTGTTTATATATTAGTGTAGTCGTATCCCCACCTTCCTCAAGTGAACTCATGGGCTGAATATTGTTTTATGCCACACACGTTATCCTCACAAGAAATTTTGAGATGACTGCCTCTCGCCCACGGTGAGTCTTGGCACTTCAAGGCTGACTAGATAGATTTGAAGCCGGTATCTTGAGATGCAGTCTATCTGTCTAACCACTGTACTACACTGCCTTTCTTTTAAGAATTATACCTCTTGCTTAGTGCACTGTTTTCCAGAATTGCTAGCGCAGCTGGCTAGATAGCTCAGTGAATTAGGTTTCTGGCTGCAGGGCCAGAGGCTGTGAGTTCGATTCCAACCACAGTGCATCTCCAGAGAGAAAAGCCACGCCCCTAGAGGAAGAGAATGGTAGTGCATTTCTGTGTCATCTCTACCTGGGAAACCCTGGAGAGGGTCACGTCGTCTCTACCTGGGAAACCCTGGAGAGGGTCACCATATGTCAGAACTGATTTGATGGCACATTATGATTATGATTATTGCCGATATACCGCTTCTTAGAAAGATAATTTCCAGCTCTGTGGTTCTCCATAGTCCCCATTAAGTCCTATGGGACAGTGCAAGCAGCCTGCATTCTGGGGCGCAGGAAATCACTGGGTGCAAAGCCCATCCCTTCACCAGGGTTCCGAGGCCATTGGCACAGATACCAATCTCTGAGTCACCCCAGACTTCCTGCC